GCCGCCACCGCCATGTTGAAGATGTGTGTTTCGTTGTGAAAGTGAAACTACTTTGTTTGGCCTTCAAAATGAGGACGATATCCGCTTCGTCATGCCTAAAGCTGATCCGTGCTAGTTGCTGAGGAAATATATCAACTTTGCGCTGTGGGTCGTCGGATCGGCTTTCACCGTGGACGAAGCGGAGTCCAGCCCGGGGTCGTCACATGTGGTTGCCGCAAGCCCGCCGGCCGTGCCGTTCTCAAGCCCGCCGCCGCTCACTCTAGCCCACCGTGTGTGACACTGTGTGTTTCGTTGTGAAAGCGAAACTACTTTGTTTGGCCTTCCAAAAGAGGACACGACTAGAAATCAGTGGTTAAGTTGTATTTACAACACTGTTCCAGAACAGTTCAACCCAAATATTCAGATGTGTGCAGTGCATTTTATGGAGGACTGTTTCCTGATCCTGGAAGAGTAGACTACAATGCCGGCTGTTCTGACTCACAGACTGTAAGTACGTTTTCATATTTAAAGGATTTGCCACTGGTGATTCAAACGCGAGTTTTGAGCAGTGTAGAGTAGCGTTTGTTGTTAGTCATTTCTCCTATCACAAATGCAGACATGGTTTTATGTTTACGCAATTCGTAAAAAGACAGTAGAAGTCATTATAATCCGTAATTATGTCCCCACTGGATGCAACAAATGCCTCGTTTATAATGGGTTTTAATGTTTTTGTCTCGCCGCTCTGGCATCACAGTATGGAAAAGGGGCGTAACATTTCCGTCACACGCTTGAGGTATTCGGCCAATCACAACACACTGGATAGCTGGCCAATCAGAGCACACCTCGCTTTTCAGAACGATGAGCTTTGTAGGTATCCGGCCAATCACAACGCACTGGATAGCTGGCCAATCACAGCACACCTCGCTTTTCAGACCGGTGAGCTTTGTAAAAAACGCGTTTCAGAAAGGCGGGGCATAGAGGAGAAACAATATTGTACAGTATGTGGAAAAGAATGTGTTTTTTTAACCTTAAACCGCATAAACACATTTCATTACACCAAATACACAAAATAATGTTCTTTTTAGCAACATCATATGACCCCTTTAAGCTTCCATACTTTTTTGATTTTACCTATAGGTCTTATGTGCCAGAGAAACAAGCGCACAGCCAGCTTTAACATTTTTGTTTGAAATTCCGTTTTTGCAGTAGCTTCTGTATATTTCTGTTGAATCACTGTTGAATTAGCTGGTGGATTTACTTATTGTAGAGTCAACAAACGTTATCACGAGCATTGTAATGTTTGAAGTGGATATATATGTAAGGGAAATCCTGCTATATTTTGTATGTTCCATCTATGTGCTTAAATGTTTTGAAATAATGCGTGCTGTCTTTGGTAGATTATTTCTTGGCTTTGTGATATTATATAATAGGATTCAGCTGCATTTATTTATATATGCTAGCAAGGGTCTAAATATAAAATCTGTTGGTTTACGGTTTAACACATTCTGTTATGACAACAGCAGGCATCTGGCATGTGCAGTCATTATAGTTTGCAGAGCTGATTGAAGTGATTGCTGAATAAGTCACCTGGAGCCGCCTTATGTGTTTGTTTGGGACATTGATGCCCTGTATGTGTCTGTGTGTCTGTGCTGCAGTAAATCATTAGCAATTCCTTGCCTGTACTCCTTGGTCTAGTCCAGTCTCTTTCTACCCCTCGGCATAGCTGGCATCCCGGTGCAATCGTCTGTAAGGTTAACATCTCAACTCGTGACCTCATATTTTTGCCATTAAGTTGCAGATGCCGTGGCTCTGTACACAAGGTAAAACCTGTGTGTTTGGGGAAGAACGAGTGAATGTGTTCAGTGCCGCATTACTTCCCTCCATTTGTTATTCTGAGGATGATGTGTGGTACTGATCCGGGGATTTTTCTGTCTGTCTGCTTCTGAGAGTGCAGAGAACACAAGAGCCCTGTGGCCTTCTGCTGTTCTTTTTGCACATTTGAAGGGCACAGTATTCATTCCTCCTCTTGCTTTTGAAGTGAAAGTGAAAATTAAGAACCGTTATTATTCAGAACCAGTTCTACTTAAAATTCTGGATGCAAGCTGAAAACCAGATTTGTTAAAAACCTCATGATTCTCTTCTTTAGTGAAACTATGCACAAAGTAATGATGAATCAGTATGACATCTTGACTTTCTATCATGCTGGTTAGTAGTGATCATATGTGGTAATCTGTTGGTGAGCTCTTAACCTTTCGCAAGCTTTTCCCTGTAAGTGCTGGTGTGAGGAAACTCTGCTGTCAGCACTATTCTGAGCTCTGTTTAGTCTAAGGGCGGATGAGTCGTATCCTCACTACTTGAGATGACTCATGGTCTTTCTACTGCTAGGGGGATTATACTGTTGAATTGAGTTCATTGAAATTTAAGTTATAACTCAAATTAAAAAAAAGTATTGTGTAAAGCAATCATGACATCAAAACCATGAATAAGCTACAAGAATAAATGAATGCTTGATGCCTTTTGTAGCATTGTGTAAAGATTTTTTCATGTGACATTGAGATGGTTTGAGTGCTGCTTGGAGACAGACCCTAGCAGTCAGTCTGTCTGTCTGTCTGTCTGTCTTTCTCTGCTGTCACATGTATTAGAATATAGCTGCATGCTGGGAGGTTGTTGCTAGGGGCAGGATAGAGTGCTTGCATATGTAGAGGTAAAGGCATTCACATGGTTTTGCATTTCAGATTTGAATGGCTAAAAATTTGGATCACAGTTAGAGGTTTTAAAATACATTGATTCATAATATTACTTTTTAATTACATTAATACCCAATGTATTTTTTATATTTATTATTAGATTTTTTTAAAATAAAATTTTACTCAATCCAGATTTCCAGTGTTTTTTTTTTTTAATTAATTAACTAATTTATTTATTATTTTTGTTTATTTTTTATTGGCACAGTATTATGAATTGCTCTAAAAGTATTGATTTAGTTGGAATCAAGCTGACCAAGTCTCATGGTCATATTGTTGTATTATAATATAGTAAAGTAATTGAATCTAGTCATTGACTTGGCAAATATTTACATCCCAAATAACACAATAGCGCTCATATTTTCAGGTAAAACGAACACATTATTATTTTGGAGCCTTATTATAAGTGTCCATCTTTAAGTAATGAAGTTCTAGAATTAACAAACCTTCTATGCTCTTATCTGATTAACCACTATGACTTTCTTTGGAGAAAAGAGGACACTCATATAGTGTCAAAGTATTTTTCAGAAAGGGACAAGCCCAGACTGGCTCTATGACTGTTTTGCCACCGCCTGCAGAGGCATAAAGCTTGAAGCGGCAGTGCCAGGCCTCCTGCGGACATATGGTTTATAAGCAGAGGTGTTGCATGCATCCTCCCATGCACCATGTGTTCCACCGATGCCGGGCTCAAGGTTTCACACTCTCAGCCTGACCTGACTGCACCACCCACTCGCTGGATCCTGGTGCTTCCAGGTGGCTCTCTCAGTGCCTGACAAATCTGGGATGTTGCATGCCAACTGCTGTCTACGTGAGACTCCAAAGGTCTACGTTAGCTGTTGTAGTCGGTAGCATGTTGGCCTACTGCTCTCAGAGCCATAATAGCTAATTGATTCCTGCATAATTGCGCTGCTCTCTAAACGTGAGAGTCTGTTGTGAGTGTGCTTGACTTGCACGTTTGCTTGAGTGCAATAACATTCATTGGTCTGAAAATATTTGTGCATTTTCCATCAATGAAATGGAAAATGAGAGTGAGCATTACCTGCTTTCAGCAACTGCTTTCATGGTGTTGAGGCAGTATACACCAGATAATAATTTTGTATTCTATATACAAAATATACTATATATGTAGTTGAGCAGTAAGGAAGTAGAGATGCATTAGTCCTCCTTACCGTGTAAATGCAGCTGAGATGCTTGAAATACATGCCATTTGTTTGAATTTTGTTTAATTTGTTAGTATTTATAGAATTATTAACATTATAATATTTCAACAACACTTCAGATATTGTTGTATATAGTACTAATGTACTATTTAATAATAGTCATACTACTACTACAACCACTACTAATAGTAATAATACTTATTAATATTAGTAGTAACAAAAATAACAATAGAGATATTCATATGCTTGAGGTATTAGGCCAATCACAACGCACTGGATAGCTGGACAACACTGTTCCAGAACAGTACAACCCAAATATTCGAGCGTGTGCAGTGCATTTTATGGAGGAAAGTTTCTTGAACCTGGTAAGGGGCGTAACATTTCAGTCACATGCTTGAGGTATTCGGCCAATCACAATGCACCGGATAGCCGGCCAATCTGACTACACCGCGCTTTTCAGAACGATCGACGCGTAATAGAGGAGCAACAATAATGTACAGAATGTGGAAAATGTTTTTTTTTTACCTTAAACCGCATAAACATTGCATTACACCAAATACACCAAATAATGTTCTTTTTAGCAACGTCATATGACCCCTTTAAAGTACATTTGTGACCTGAGAGGTCACATAAGGCCAAAAATACGAGTTTTCTTCTTTTTTTTTTATTACCTCAAAGCTACTTCTCAATCATTAAATATTTAGGGTTCTGCGTATCCTCCATTTGAAATAATGTTTACCTCATTCTGCACAGATGCCTGCATGCACATGCTGCTTCAAAACAAAGCTTAGCCAGCAAAGATAAATCACTATTGAAACGGAGCAGCACAGAATAAAGAGAAGAGGGTGGGGGTAGGAAAGACCAGAGCGAGGGGGAGAGAGAGAGAGAAAGAGAGAGAGGCAGGGCGGGAAAAAGCCTGCTCAGTTGAGCAGTATTAACACAGCGTAGCAATTTCATCTTCCCAAACGTGATCTCCTTTAACAACTGTGAGCGCTCAAATGCCTGTTGCCAGGTTACCGTCCAGCACTGTGAAAAGCGGGATTGTGTGTGCAAGCAGCATGAAGAAGCACCGCTGACTTGCGCCCATCTCAAAGTAATGAATCACCGATGCATTCAGAATAGGGGGAACGCGATGAATAGGCGAGTGTGATCGGGATCGAATCCGCAGCGTCGGAGCCGGGGGAAGCCATGCAGCTCCAGTCTGCAGCACAATGCAAGGTGTCCGGCTTCATACTGAATGAAAGATGCACCCTGTCTTCAAAAATGGAAGTCCACCGGTACGTACGCACACAGGCTTCATGGATTCATTTTCCTGATACAAGCAACTGTTGCATCCTTAAATATATTGTTGAAATGCATTGTTTAGGTTCTCGTCAGTTTAATTTCTGCTTCATCGTTGGCTGTCTGGGATTAATAAAGCAATGCTCTATTGTAATTATGGAGGATGTGAGCTGCTTTAGGAAGTGTGGTGGAAAATGTTTTTAGTGAGATTAGTTTCATTTGCTCTAATAGGTCCCTGTGGAATGGATGGGAGATGCACAAATTGGCCTATAAAACCGGTGGCAGGCTACCAACATTTGTGCTCTGCAAATTCACTCATCAAATATTGATGGCTAGTTTATCCCATCACACAAATATTGCCCTACAGACTGTATCAAAGTTCATTTTTGTCCTCGTTTTACTGATAAAGGGTCTCAACCAAATTAAATTGCGTTTCACACTTCCAGTAAGTGTTTAAAAGTCTTTGGAGGAAAGGTGTTTCCCCATTTAGCTGCAATGAATAGGGTGTTTTTATAAACCATGCTGCCATTCCCTGTCATGTCTAATAAGTAGGCTATCACTTATGACATTCTTAAGGGGGAAACTCCATACATGCAAAAGGTTTGGTGTGAGAAGTCACTGTGTTCTTTGGGTGTGAATAGCAGCTCAGTCGAGGCAAAACAGGTCGCTGTCAACACTTACTTGTTACTTCGTTAAAAGTGAATTGCCTTGTGTATTGTATGTAAACACCAGAATGACCTGAGGCTTTCCGAAAAACCAGGTTTGTACTGTGGTGAGGTGTTGGTGGTAGTTTTCTCTGGAGAAGATTCTTTGAAATTCTTTGTTTAGCTGATGTTGATGTTTTGCATTACTGTGCTGAGTAAAACCTGTCGTGCTGGTCCTGTTTTATGAGTTGGAGCTGCTCATTCTTAAGATTTTTATTTTTGGTTAACACTTTTGCTTTGGAAACATTCACTCCACTTTAAATGCAAGCAAAAACATGTATGTTTTTAGTTTCTATGTATGTATTTTTAGATATTTATATAGTAGTAATAATAATAAAATTATATAGTAATAATAATAATGACTATTATAAACATTTTTAAATTTCTTAAAAATATAAACTTTATATACACATTACTTTTTTTCCAATTAAAGTGTTGCCACAGAAAAGTGTTCCCAACTCGTAAAAATTAGTATTTAAATATTAAATAGCATTATATTAGGAATATTGGGAATGTTAATTTTTGAGTTGGCAACACATTCAGTCCACTTTAAATGCAAACAAAACATATGTATGAGTATATATAGTTGATGTATTTTTAGATATTCATAGAGTAATATTAATACAAAAATTATAGTAATAATGATAATAACTATTATAAACATATTTTAAAATACATTTCTTAAATATATAAACTATATATGCACACATTACATAATTTATTTTTTTGCATTTAAAGTGGAGTGTTGCCAAAAAAAAAAAAAAGTGTTAACGCAACTAGCATTCCCAACTCATTAAAAAAAATAGTATTTAAATGTTAAATAACACTTTATATTTATGAGTTGGGATTGGGAATAGGGCTGCACGATAAATCGCATGCGATATTTAACGCGCATCTTATCAGTAAAGCCGGTTCTGTAATCAGCGGTAAATCTCCATCACCTGCGGGCTTTCACATTGAGCAGCATTAACTACACAGAGCCCACCTGCGTGCTTTCACATTGAGCAGCATTAACTACACAGAGCCGTTGTTCACTGACGAGCTGCGCAAAACCACGTTCATATTCGCGCGATTTTTTGCGCAGTTCGTCAGTGAACAACGGCTCTGTGTAGTTAATGCTGCTCAATGTGAAAGCACGCAGGTGATGGAGATTTACTGCTGATTACAGAACCGGCTTTCTGACAAGATGCGCGTTAAATATCGCATGCGATTTATCGTGCAGCCCTAATGGACAACAACAATCCAATATTAACACGATTAAGACAATACTCTGATTAAGAATCTACAATGTAAACAGAGATTTTTGATTACCTTAATCCGGCTAAAGTCATAATCGAAGTAAACAGAAATCGAATTAAGACATGTGGAGTATTCCTATTTTAGTCTCATTATTGAAGTGCAGTATAGACATGTACACACCTTAATCACACTATCACTGTTGTGTAGGACTTTTCACGACATTTTGCGACAGGATACACACGACAGTGGTCAACCATTTGTCGGCAAACGAAAGAGCATGACTTCAAGAAGGCACATTTTTATCCGTCGTCGTCTTGCGTATAGCATGGCAAATAATTAACTGCACTTGAAGCTTTCGTAAAATTAAAAATGAAACACCCTAAACTGTATATGGTACCGAAGACAAACTGTATGTTGATACGTGAAATTTAGGAGAGAACGTCAGATGGCGTCGTGTGGGAACTTAATGACATGCGCCATTAATCGATTTATGTACTATAACGTGTAAAACGGGAACATGAAAGGAATATTCTAAAAGCAACTCATGTAAACACCTTAATCATAATATTGTCTTATTCAGAATAAGATAAATAATTCGATTACTGATGTCCATGTAAACGTACTCAATGTCTCTTAGAGGGGAGGAAAGATCATAATTCACTGATGCTTGTGAAACAGGATGGCATATAACCTAACAACATTTCCAATTTTAAACTTATTAGAGATGATCACTATATTCTCAGCACAAATGTACCCTTTAATTTTATTTTTTTTATCAGAATCATTATCTTTAAGTCATTGGACAACATTGCTTGCTACATATAAAAATGCATGTGCCATGGATAAATAAAATGGAATAGCTGGAAAATAAGGAAGTGATTTTAATCAAATATATGATAACTCAATCTGGCACTCGAGAGTCATGAGCTGTTTGAGAGGCGGCTATGCGCGCTTTGGATGAGAGCGCATCGAAGATCGTCTCAGAGAGTGTGCGAGTGCTTTATGGGTTAAAATAGTTTGAATGTTTAAATTGACGACTTAAAATGACGTGCGAGTGACAGTTCTGTCAACTGTCTGAAACGCGTGCTAGTCTTGTATTGTAGCGTGCAGCTCGCAGAATCTGTGGGAATGTGTAGAATTACGCGCAATGTTCGTAATCCCGCAGCGAAACATGGCAACTAAACTCTAAAAATTCACAGCATTTTATTATAATAGTGAACTTCTCATTATAATGTTATGTATATGACAGTCCCAGTCATAGTTATTAATATTCTGCATTGTTGTTTGTGCTGTGCACTGAAGAGACCGTAGTAGGCCTACAATTAAGTGCTTTACTGCAGTGTAACTCAACCAAATGCATCTTATATGACATAAATAATATATACACTATATATATATATATATATATAAGGCTGCACAAGCGAACTTGACTGTGCTAGTCATGAAGATATAACTCTGTGGAAGCATTCTTTCCATATCAACATGCTGAAACATGGCATATTCTTTTACAGTCGTGTTCTCATTATAATTTTATTAAGCCTATATGACAGATTTGTTCTGCACATGTTGCCCTTAATGGTACCTTCCTTTTCAAAGTGATTCAAGCAATTCAAAACCATCGTGGCTGTATGTGTTTGAAGTGTCTCAGTAGGGGGCGGGGTAGGCCAATAGAGTACCGCGGTACGTACCATGGGTGGTGTAGCGCGGTTTTTCGGTTCGGTTTGAATATCGTTACACCTCTAATACACACACACACACATTATAATTGATTTTGATATAAATTATAATTGATTGATTTGATATAAATGAAAATCAACACTTCATATAGATTATTATTAATATTTTATTAAAATATAATATAATAATTACATTGTATTCTTTAAGTAATTTAATATACGTGATGTGTTGTTATCAGATTAAAAAATCTAATATAAATAAAAAATTACTATGACGTCCAGATAAAAATATGGAATGTCAGTTCGTTCACTAAAATGAATGCTATATATTTCTATATTTAATAAATATTTGGCACATTTTTGTATCTGCTGGTGCTGACTTTTATTTTTCAGCTTTCATATTGCTCATTTTGTGTCCGTACTCAAGGATCTGTGAATTAAAACGGTATTAGCACTCTGCTCGCATTGGTTTACGTCCTTTTTAAGTGTGTTCTTGTCCCCTTGCCAGTGGCTTAAAAGCAGACTATTCTCACAAATAGCTGCCCATGCAGAGGATGTCACCAGAGCTGTTTATACAGTGATGATGTCTCCCATTGTCCTGCAAAGCATGGCATGAATGAATCTGCACTGGCATCCACCAAAATGGGTGTTCTGCGTGACTCATGGTTTGTGAGTGGAGTGTATTTTTAAGTCAGTTTTTGCAGTTTCTGTGGAGGAGGTGAGGTGTTGGCAGCTCAGGGACTCCATCTCGACTGTGGAAGGAAGCAGTTGCTGTCATTAGCTGTAAAGGATCATAGTAAGGATGCCAAGGTGAACGGTGAACACCAGGTTGAGAGTATTAATATCCATTTAGTATTTTTGGGATAGTCTCGGGATAGACCAGTTTATTGTCTATTTAGTGCTGATCATGCGCTCAGAGCTTGTGTATAGAGCAAAACAAAAGGCAAGCGAAAGAGAAGCCTGAATGGCTCTGTTATTTTTTTCCCCTTTCTCATACAGAATCTTTTTTTCCCCCAGTATTATGTAGGAGCTACACATAAAACCCACCCATGTACACAGTGTTCCTAAGGTGATGGCTTTAATTCCTCAATCTATAAAAAGACCAAAAGGGAGCAAAAAAAAAAAAAAACCCTAACGAGGGATTGTGACTTATGAGGATGTCTCTCTCGACACTAGTGCGTGATCACTACAGAGTCTGAAATCTTTTGAATTGGCATGAAGATTGTATCACGGACCGTTCTGTGGAATACATAATGAAATATCCTCCTCAAAATGGAGGAAATGAAATGCACAGGAAAACGGATACAAGTGCTGAATCAGTTGACATGCTGCTTTATATAGTGAGTTCGACGTCCTGCCCTTCCAAACGCCTCCTAA